CTTTAGTGTATGATCACAGTGGGGTTCAAGCAAAGGGATTAATGATTCGTGCCATTTATGGCACCTTTAGGCTATGTTTTCTTTATATTTCTATGCTCCTTTGTTGTTTTTTATGTCGTGTTTTTAGAGAATAATGCTCGATTCGCGTGTTTTTGTGTTAGTTTAGAGAAATGCATGCTTTTAAAGGCTTTCTTATCATTTTATTCATTTCTCGACTATTTCTCTTGCTTCTCCGTTTCTTTATCTTGTTTTGTAGGTATGTCGCGGAATATATGCATGGGAATTGAAAAATAGCAACCACTAGGAACAATATGCACTTTTCGGAATTGAATTTGAGTTTGAAACAAAGGAAAACGAAGGATTGCAAAGTATGAAATAGGACCTTTATACATTGTTTTAGTCATATCTCAAGTTCTACAAATCTGATTAGGGTATATCAAGTTGGGTTGGAAACTAGACTGAAGAGCTTTCCAATGATAGGTCGCACGCCTTCATACAATTCTTATATCGTAAGTTACAGCCTTCTGAAGTTGGCCCTGGAAAACTGCCGCGGGCGTGGGGTTGCTGCAGCTCCAAAACTGTCGTATTTGGGCAGTAAGCACCCGCGGTTGTCCCGAGGGCTCCCCGAGGGCGTGGGGTTGCTGCAGCTCCAAAACTGCCGTATTTGGGCAGTAAGCACCTGCGGTTGTCCCGAGGGCTCCCCGAGGGCGCGGGCCTTGGCCCCGCGGCCGCGGGCTTGGGTCGCGGGCGCGGCTATCGGGGTGTCCGTTCCCCTCCGCGGGCGCGGGTTTCTGGGTCTTTTACGATTTTAAGCTTCTTTTCTCCTTTTGTTTATATAGTTTTTGGTTTTCCTTTATTATTCATTCATGTAATTCTTTAGTTTTAGAATAGTTTTATCTCTGTTAGGTTGAGAGCTTCTCTCTCTAGATTAGGCTAGATTAGGAGTAGTTTTAGAGAGAGAAAGTGAGGAATTTCAATGGTGATTGAGAGATTGAAGATGCAAGTGTGACAATTGTGTTGGAGATCTTCTTAATTATCAATGAGCATTTCTAAACTCTATCTCATTCAATTGCTTTGTTTAATTTGATGTTTGTTTGGTTTGATTTTGATATTTGATGTTTGATTAGAGTAATTGTTCTTGATATTTGGTTGATTCTTGTTTTCCATAGTTGTTAGTTGATAGATGATGATTCTTGAATAGTTGTTTGGCTAGGAATTGGGTGAAACTTGTATGATTGATTAATTGTGATTAATTTGGGAATTGTGTTGATTGACTGTTGAGATTAAAGTGATTAGTGAAGGTTTGCATGTGTGTAATTCAATTTGGCCTTGAGAATTATGCTAGATTGCATTGTAATTGCTAATGACATGAACAATTGATTTAGGAATTACAATTATCAATTGGTTTTGATTGTGATTCTCTTAGTTTGTTATTCATAGTGAACCCTAGCTTAACAATTAGGAGATAGCTCTTTGATTCCTATTGATTGCTCTTATCATTTAGTCCTCACAACCTTTGATTGGCATGCTCTTCCCAAGTTGTTGCAATTGACATGATTACAAGTTGATCCCCATTCCTAGTGTTTTATTTCCTTAGTTACTTGTTTTGTTAGTTGTTAGTATTCTCTCTTACCTTCGTCTTCGACCTAGCTTAGGCGCATAATTGAAAGTGCTTGAACATTACCGCTCCTTTGGGTTCGACCCTTGACTTGCCTCTATACTCATATTTAGGTTTGTTAATTGTTTATAAATTTAGTTTGACCAAGGGAATATTAGATAACGACCTAGTTTTCCCCTCGTCAATTAACGCTTTAAATTATTCCCTACAGCTTCTTTGTTATCTTCTGAAAATAATAATAGTGTTACTTCCTTTGTTCATAACACTATTACTTTAGTTGTAAAGCCTAGTGTTGGGCTTATTCATGCTAGACTAGGACATATTTCTGCTAGCAAGCTAAATCATGTAATAGTTTCTATTCTTGGTAATAATCATGGACATAATTGTGATTTTACTTGTGAAGCATGTGTAATGGGTAAACATCATAAATTGTCTTATCCTGCTTTTGTTTTTATTGCTTCTGCCCCTTTTGAGTTGATTGATGTGGATCTTTGGGTTAAATATGGAAGACCATCCTTGTATGGGGCTACTTACTTTCATATTGTCCTTAATGATCACACTAGATTAACTTGGACACATCTACTGCATGATAAGACTCACGTATATGGGGTTTTATTAGCTTTTCTTGAGTATATTGAGAATTTGTTTGGGGTTACAGCTTAGACTCTTAGAAGTGACAATAATGACACTGAATATTCAGGATTCTTGTACTCAATTACTGGCTTTGAAGGGTATAGTTCATCAAAGGAGTATTCTTGATAATTCTCAACAAAATGGGAGGTTTGAGCGCAAAAATAGACACTTATTAGAAACTGCATGAAGTTTGAGAATTCATGCTTCTTTGCCTTTGATGTTTTGGGGTGAGTGTTTTCTGGTTGCAACCTATCTTATTAATCTTCTTCCAAGTTCAGTGTTGAATTGGAAGAGTCCACATGAGTTGCTGTTTGGGAAATCTCCTAATTATGGGCATTTAAGGGTGCTTGGATGTCTTTGTTATGCTCCTCCGAAAGTTGGTGATAAGTTTGAGCCTAGCTAGAGCTAGGAATTGTGCGTTTATTAGGTATCCATATACTCATAAAGGAAACATGTTGTTTGATTTAGCTGTAAACAAGATTATTTTGAGCAAGGATGTTGTATTTTGTGAGACTATTTTCCCTTTCCAGTCACCTAAACCTATAGATTTTGTTTATTTTCTCCCTATTATGAATCCTGCTCTTGATAACTCTCAACCTATTTCTTCTGATTCATTGTCTCAACCTTACAACTCTTGTTCCGAGCACAATTTTAGTGATCAAAATATTTCTTCTTCTAATTCTTCTACTCCAGATTCTTTTTCTCGCTTCCTCTGATCATTCTCCTCCTAACACTCCTTCTCCTCCTATTGTCAGACAGTCTTCTAAACCTAGACAAATTCCAAAGAAATTTGATGGTTTCCAACTCATTATTCCACCTTCTAGACAGGTTTTAGATTTAGTGTTTATTCTGAGCCTGCTCTTGCTTACATGCATGGCACAAGATTCATTACAGAGTCTTGAGAATGTATTAACCATTTTTGAGCCTAGTACTATAATCAAGCAAAGGATCATTCAGAATGGGTAGAGACTATGAAAAAGGAACTTGATGCTATGGAGAAAACTAAGACTTGGGAGCTTACATAGCTACCTTCTAGCACTACTAGAAAACAGGCGATTTCTGACCCTGTTTTTTTGCGATTTTCGATGGAATTCCGTCGAAAACTGTCGTCGTAAATGTATTGTAGGAAAATCGACCTTTTCGTAAACACTTGTCCGATGGAATTTTTCCGTCGTAGGAGATTTTTCAGCCCGGAATAGTCTGTCATAAATTTTCAACAAAAAAATTTTCGCCGAAGATTCCCGACGGAAATTCCGTCAAAAGAAGCTGCAAAAAAACAAAAAAAAAACTTATCCGCCACCTATATCACCACCTCCAGCCACTCCCTAACTCGTAATCCCTCCCCACCCAAAACCACCACCTTAACCCAAAACCACCACCACCTAAACCAAAACCCAGATTATCAAAAATAAAACCTTTTACCACCACTACCTTAAACCAAAACCCAGAAAATCAAAATTTAAACCCAAAAAATAAAACCCCAAATTAACCACCCTTAACTTAACCCAAAACCTAGACAATCGAACATAGAACCCGGAAAATCAAAAATAAAAACATAAAATCGAAAATAAAAACCCTTAAAAATCGAAAATAAAAACCCAGAAAATTGAAAACAATAAAACAAAAAAATCGAACACATAACCCCCCAAAAATCGAGAATACAACCCTAAAAAATTGAAAATAAAGCCTTAAAAAAAAGAGAGAGAAAATCACATAAATTTATCAATACGAACCCAGAAAAATGAAAAAAAAAAATACAACATACCTTTCCTTTCATCATGTGCTTTGGGTTTACAAGGTCAAGGTCGTCCATGAAAACACTAGATCTAGTAATTTTATGGACGAATTTGACCAAATTAAAAAAATCATACTTCATTTTATTTTATATTATGCTTGAATATCATGGGAAGTGAGGAGAAAAGGAAATGAGAGTTGTGTGCGATGTCGGTCTAATTGAAAGTAGAATTGAGGAGAAAGAAGGGAAGTAAGAAGAACAGAGGAGAAGTGAGGGGAAGCGAGATTCAAAGAAGATGAGAGGAAAGAAAAAAAGGAGAAGTGAGGAGAGAGATGAGAGAGAAAGAGAAATGAAGGGCGGTTTAGGTACTTAGGGTTTTCGCCTTTTTTTTTTTACTAGTTCCCAACCCTTTTTTGTAAACGTTTTTTTTTCTTTTTTTAATATATTTTCCAACGGATTTATATTCCGTCGAAAATTTTTGACGGATTTCCGACAAATTGTTTGAATTCGTCAGAAATATCCGACGGATTTTGACGGAATTACGCGTCCGTCACAACCGATCCGTTAGAAATTAGTTGTTTTCTAGTAGTGTAGAAAGAAGGCTATAAGCTCTAAATGGCTCTATAAAAATAAGTTTAATTCTAATGGTAGAGGTACAAGGCAAGAATTGTTGCTAGAAGTGATAAGCAAATTGAAGGCAAGGACTATAAACACACTTTTAATCGAATTGCTAAGTTTACCACTGTTAGAGTAGTTATTACATAGGCAGCTTCTTTTGGTTGGGACATTCAACAGGTTAATGTCAATAATGCCTTTCTAAATGGTTTTCTTGATTAATAAGTTTATATGAAAGTTCCTCAAGGGTATACTAAGGCTGCTCTTGGTCAGGTCTGTAAGCTGAAAAAGTCCATTCATGGACTAAAACAGGCATATAGGTGCTAGAATAGAGAATTGAGCAAAATTCTACTTGAATATGGGTTTTCTCAATCACAACAAGACTATTCTCTTTCAATCATGAAGAATTCTACTTCCTATACAGTTGTGGTGGCTTACGTAGACGATTTGTTGATCACTGGAACTGATGCTGATGTGATTCAGCATCTCAAAGTTGCTTTGGACAAAGCTTTTAAAATCAAGGATCTAGGTAGTCTTAATTACATTCTAAGTATTGAAGTTTCTAGATCCAAGTGTGGGATACTTTTGAATCAAAGAAATTATATTCTTGATATGTTGAGAGATGCTCATATATATGGAAGGGTGCAACCCAACCAATTTCCCTTTACCAAAGGGTTTGAAGTTAAGTGTGAATGAAGGTGTTGTATTGGATTATCCTGAGAAATACAAGAACATTATAGGGAAGTTGTTGTACTTGAGTCTTACTATGCCTGATATTAGTTATGCAGTACAACAATTGAGTCAGTTTCTACATACATAATTCTAGGGATCAACACCTTTCTACTGTTGTTCATGTCTTAAGTTATCTTAAAGGTACCCTGCATTATGGATTTATCTATCCTGCAAAGACTGATATGAAGATTAAAGCCTATAGTGATGCTGAATGGGGCACATGTGCTGATTCAAGAAGATCTTTATCAAGCTTTTGTGTGTTTCTTGGGAATGCATTGGTTTCATGGAAGACAAAGAAGTAGAAAACTATTTCTAAAAGCTTAACATAATTAGATTATAAAAGTATGAGCTATACTGCAAATTAAGTAATTTGGTTAAAAAGATTACGTACTTCATGATCTGGATTTTTCAATTAAGACACCCATTTCTTTATACCATGACAACATTTCTACACAGCAAATTAAATTGCAGAAAATCCTTGGTTTTCATGAGAAAACAAACATTTGAGGTCCAAATCACAAAATTTGGATGTTCATTTCATCAGGAAACAAGTTCAGTCTGGCTTTGTTATGCTTGTTCATGTGCACTCTTCTTTGCAGCTTGCTGATTTGATGACTAATAAGTGTAGACACCTAAAAATGTCTCCCCAAAACCAAACTCGATGATGAACAACCTTTCACCGCCATTATTGGTCGGGTTTATTATTTAATCTTGGAGTGCTTAAATCCATATTTCCATTTCATAAAACAACCCAATTCCTAGCCCATTTCCCCAAAATATAACTTATTTTCCTCTTTTCGTGCCTTAAAACCCAAAATAATTCATTTCGTGTCCTTTAAAATCATTCATTTCATGTCCTTTTTATAAAAACGTTTATTTTAGTTTATTTTGGTCCATAATATGGGTCTAATGATTTAATAATTGGATGGGGCTTGAAAATAGATTTCCAACGATATATTATAAGCCCAAATCCGAGTTATAACGAATAAGTTATGACCAAAATATTAAATTGAGCCCAAACCGAACCTAAGCCCACCTTACCTGCGGCCACATGATCATGTGGAGGGTCCAAATTATTTAATCCCATTCCTAAACCAATTAGGATTAATTAGAAGCTTCTATAAGTTTCTAAAAGATCCTAATTATCCGGTTTAAAAAGATAAGATTAAAGAGTTTGAAATTGAATAAAACTCCTTTTTTTTTTAAAGTCCTAATTTTATCCGAATTAAAAGACATTCAAAGATAGAAATATATTATTTTCTTGCCTCATGTTTTTTATCCAAATTTTATATAGTTGGATAGCCCTTGAAATTATCTTTCCAATGATATATTATAATATCAATTCCGAGTTATAACGGAAAAGATATGAATAAAATGTCAAACTCTATCCAAAACTGACACCGTCTCACTATTTCGGCTATATCTATTGTTCTACAAAATATTTCAATCTGATTCTAATTGGGTTAGAAATTAGACTTCAATAGATTTCCAACGATATCTTATTCATTCAATAGATTTCCAACGATATCTTATTCATCTTATTCCGATTTCTGGATCAAAAGATATGATAAAAACAAAAACCGCAAAAACTGCTGTCTATCGCAAGAGTTTTATCCGATTCGAATTCTTATCTTTTCTTGATTCTTCGACCTTCTTTTTTCTCTATAAATAGAGGTCATTTCTCCCCTTTTCCAATCATCAACAAGCTTGATCATCAAATAATTCTTTTCTCCCTCTTTAGCCTAAATACTAGCCACCTTATTTTCTCAAAATACTTCCCCTAATTAAGCACTCCAAGGAGTTCATACAATACCCAAAGTTCTATACTTAAACCAAGGCGTGAAAGGTATAATTAACTGAGGGTTTGGACTAAATAAACTCTACTTTTTATTTAATTTAACTGTTTCAATTTGATTTATTTTTATTGAAGTTACTAACGGTTTATTTATGATGTAGCAATTCAAGGAAACGCGAAAAGTGAGAAATTATTCACTTAATTACTCTTATTTTTATTCGTGTTGCTAGTATCATGATTAGGGTTATTTTATATTTTATTTGACTAACGTTATTATTGTTGAATTGCTTCTAATATTAATTTTTATTCTATTATTATTTATTGATCACTATATTGCATGTTTGAAGGGAATATGTAATTGAAAATCACGCCTAATAAGATAATTTGGACAACCGGTTTAGGTTCCTTTTTTAATCTTGTTATTAAATCAAGTGATCACAATATTTTAGAATTATGTGTTGCATTAATATTAAACCAATTTAGTTTAATAATAGATTGGAGCAAATTGAATCTTTATTTGTATGCCTTTGAGATCGCAGGAATCACTTTTCACTATAAGAATAGAGTAGAGGCCAATACGGGCGAATGTGACTCCATGACTCACTTCGTACTATCATCCCGATCCTCCTTTCGTGGTTACGAACCATATGGAGTTAGTAATCTCATGGATTATGAATGGGGTGTAACCTTCACGGGTCAATCGTTGTTGCCTATCGTTGTCCCTTAATCGTGGTTGCCTTTTATGATCCGTGAACGGCTTACAAGTTCCTTAAAAACTTGATGGCGGCTCCCTACTTTATTTGTCCCTAATCGTAATGTCAATTCCCACTTCCTATGAGTGTCAAGCATATTCACACATGCTTTTAACGTAGGCGCACTTCGAGCGACGCCTACAATAAGGCATTGGGATCTCATCAGCTCAGGTTTCTCAGTTCAAAGATTGGCAAAGCCAGTCAACCTCTTGCTCAACATTAGATTGCAACTCCATCTTGAAGGGGGGGTGTTGAGTATAGTTGTAAATATCTTCTGCACAAGATATTTATAGTGATGACTAGGACAAAGTTTGTTAGGCTTTTTCGCATTTCTAGGAAAGTTGTTAAAAGTTAGTTGTTGTAATAATAGGTATTTAAAGGCTGTTATAATCAATAATCAAATGAGTTATCATTTTACAGAATTTTAATTTCTCTTTACAGATTTTTCTCTCTTTTCTCTCATTCTCTTTCTCTCTGAAATCTCAGAGTATTTTGAAATTTCACAAGAAAACTATTTTTCATCTTTGGGAAAGTTGTTTATGACAATTACTAACAAACAATAGAAATTGGAAAAATAATTTTCATGGAAATTTTTTTTATTATTCATAACAAGCAGAGTCTACAAGCCTTAATAAGAAAATTTTTGCCAAAACAACATTATAAAACTTTTTTTTTTGTTTCTCAAAAACCACCTTATAATTTGTTTTTTTTTTTTTGGGTAAAACCACACCTTAAAATTAATTTATTTTTTGCCACAACACATCTTGTGCTGGATAAGTGATAGATATTATATTTAGGATAATATTTGTCGCAGATTAGGATATATTTATTGTATATTTTGTATGTTTATCGTATCTAGGATTCCTATCGTGTTTAGGCCTAGCGTTGTAAACTCTATATATTTGATCAATGGTACACACTCCAGTTTGAGGAGTTTTCCCGAAATCTAACATGGTATCACAGCCTAGGTTATCGAACTAGCTTCCGCAATTTTTTATTCTTCTTAATTTTTTTGTTTTCATTGCTCTCTGCCTACCACTTTCTCACGAATCCCATTCTTCCCCTGTTTACTTAATTTACTCACGCCATGGGTAAGGATGGTGATGGTGACCAGCCCCCACAACCTCCTACCTCCGAGTTTCATCCTGCACTAGGTGTAAACAACATCAAGAATGCGATCCCGCTAATTCTTGATCGAGAGAAGTTCCAATACTCTAATTGGGTAGACTACATTGATCCCAAAACTCCCAAACCAACGGACATCTCTGACGCTATGTGGAACCAACTCGATTCGGTAGTGAAGAATTGGATATATGGCACAATTTCTGCAGATTTACTTGATACAATCCTAACCAAGGGAGCATCGGCTCAACAAATTTGGGATAAACTCAAAGCGATTTTTCAGGATAACAAGAACACTAGAGCCGTATATCTTGAAAATCAATTTAACGCTTTGCACCTTTCCAATTTTTCTAACATCTCATCTTATTGCCGTCAGTTAAAGACTCTCAAAGATCAATTAGCTAACGTCGATCAACCCGTGTCGGAACAAAAATTGGTTATTTGGCTTGTCTCGGGCCTTGTTAACACGGACTATGACACCGTGGCTGCTATGATTCAGCAAACAGAACCCCTTCCTTCGTTCGAGACAGCTAGCTCTCGATTGCTTCTCGAAGAATCCCGACGATCCAATAACTTCACTCCAGCCGCACAATCTTTCCTTGCACATCAAGGTGAGTCTTCTTCGGCTCCAAGCCAAGCCACCCAGTCAGGCCAACCACGTGGTGGCGGCGGCGGGGATGGACGGAAGTTTGGCCGCGGTACGAGCTCCGACAGAGGAGGTAAGGGCGGCAAGGGTCGTGGTAGGGGGCGTGGCCAAGCTCCAAGCAAATCCAACGCTGCTCAACAACAGCAACCACAATCCCAAGGCCCCCTTCACATAATCAGTGGGTTGGCCCACCTGCCTAATTACCTTATGGTTATACTTGGGCTCCTATGTGGTCTCCACAACCTAACTGGGTCAGGCCTCCTTACCCATATCCTCAATCCCAGATTAGAGGACAACAATATTCACAGGCTCCGGCCCAACAACAAAGTTTCATGGCAGCCCAACAGTCCCACGGACAACTCATGACTCCCACAGAGCTCGGGAATGCCTTTTCAAATTCGACTTTGGCAAATCCAGATGACGGATGGTATATGGACTCAGGTGCTTCGTCTCACATGACAAACAAGTCTGGTATTCTCTTACCCTTGTTTAATTTAAGCTCTAATAATCATATTTTAGTTGGTAATGGTCATCGTATTCCAATTTCTGGTTATGGTCACACAACCTTTCCCGATAACAAATTAGCCCTTCGTGACGTCCTTTTTGCCCCACAAATTATTAAGAACCTTATTTCAGTTAAAAAATTTACCTCTGAAAATTCGGTTTCTATAGAATTTGACCCTTATGGTTTTTCTGTGAAGGACCTTCGCACGGGGAAAATAATCACGAGATGCAATAGCCACGGGGACCTCTATCCAGTCACTACCACTACACCAACATCTTGCCTTGCCACCTCCCTCACAGCCGTTTCACCATCCACATGGCATGATCGTAGGACACCTTGGAGCACCTTCTTTAAATTTTCTTAGGAATAGTAATTTTATTGATTGTAATAAGGAGCAAGTCTCCACCTTTTGCAATTCTTGTCAACTTGGAAAACATACTAGACTTCCTTTTATTCCTCTAATAGCAAAACTACTTGTGCTT